CTTTTGGACGTTTTCTGTCCAGCGTTCCTGGCCCCTGGGCCGGAGCGGGGGCTGCAGGCGCTTCGCGAGACTGCAAAAGGAGCCGTCACCCGGGACTTAATAGGCGTGCGGTTAGTGCCTTTAAACACCAAGCCTTGCAAAGCTCGGCCCAGCTAAGTTCGCCGCTTCGGCAGCGAAAGCTTTGTGAAGGCGCAGGGGGTCGCGGGGTCAAACGGTGAGCCTCCCGCGAAGAAGGGGCGCGGGCGCTGGCGGAGGGGAGTCCGAGCGCTAGCTGCCGAGGCGCGCGCCCGTAAATGCTTGCCTTGACTGAAGTCCGCTTCTCATTTGCAGGCCACTTGTGATGGATTTTTAGCACTTTGGCAGTTTGGTAACTCCGATTCAGGTAAGTAGAGAGGAAAAAAAAAAATTTTTTTTTTTTAAAACTACCGTTGTTTTTTACCAGAAGACGCTGATTTGTGCGCGTGTATGTGTGTTTCCCTTGTAGATAGGAGGTTCTCGAGGTCTGAAGACGCGGACGTACCCACCGATGGCCTGTTCCTGGATTCAGCACTAGCCCAGAGGCCGACCTGCGGTTTCTGCAGGAGGGTCTTCCGGCGTGCTGAGGAGCTGAAGGAGCACGTCCACCAGCACGCTTTCTCCATGCTTCTCCCGTTCGACGTGGTTGACTGCTCGCGGCCTGGCCTTGCTGACAGCGTGCCTCCCGGCCAGCTCGCCCGCTTCCAGTGCTCCAAATGCCCCGCGAGCTTCACCCTGAAATCCAACATGGATCGGCACGAAAAGACCATCCACTTCAACTGTAAGAAGATGCAGTGTCCTCACTGCGCCAAGCTGTTTCGAGACAAGACAGACTTAAACCGACATCTTACATCCGTGCACTCGAGCGAGCGTGCTTTTGTGTGTCTCTTCTGTGGCAAGGGCTTTGGTACCCAGAAGAACCTCGCTAACCACGTGAAAGCGTGTTACCTGGGCTCTGCCCGGCTGGGCGGGTTGGAGCTTTTGGACAGCGTAGGACGAAACGAGGATCCTGAGGATGCGTAGCGACTGTTGCGTGTAGGAGACGCTTAAACTAGGAAAAGCAGATTGTTCCATTGTTCTCCTGCGGCAAATAAACGTACCACAGGCGTCGTACAATAGAGTAACTCCCCAAAGCTGATCAGGCTGATAACGTGCTGGTTCCAGACGTCGCGTAGCTGCAGCCACCATGCAAGTTTTGTGCGAAGATAACTTTTGTCAGCCCATACGATGGGCACTTTGGCTGTTTTATTGGTGTGATCATACTGTGTGCTTGTACTACCTTAAACTTTTTTTTATGAGTAGATCTCAAAGTGCTTTATAAAAGAGACGGTGATGTTTTCCTCGAATTCCCTGGGAAAAGAACACACCTCAGCACGAGTGTGTTAAGAATAGAATTAATAGTAGAATTCGGTCTTCTGAGTTGTGGTCTAGTGCTCCATCCATGAGACAATTCGGGCGTTTCAGGGTGTTTCAGCTTGAGATTAGGCGCTGTGAAAGCACTGGGTTTCTTGGCCCTGTAAACCGTGTATAAAGTCTGGTTTTCTGTGTCATTGAAAGGAGAAAAACATGCTGCTTGTCCACATGTGCAACAGGGTATATTATTTGGGCTTGAAAGTTGTCGCAGGGCTCGTGTATTTTATTGCTATATGTTGGAGTACTTTTTGGACTTTCAAAAAAATATACTGGAGCGTGGCTGTGGTTTTCAGGGATTCTGGAAAATTTTCTGACTTGTTTGTTTTATAGGGTGTAATTAAGTTAGCCAGACTGAATGTATGTTGTTGAAGAGAAGAGAGGAGGCTTTACACGGATCTACTTGTAACTTAGGGTGTGCATACAAAATCTGCAATGGTTGTTACTGGAGGGTGGAAGTCTTACTGTAATTCCTATTTTAGTACATGAAATTAATTTATTTTTTTAAAAGATTAAGTATTTTTGTGTCTCTCACTATATATTTACATGCAAAACCAGATTATAGTAACTGTGAAATGAAAGTAGCATAATTAAGTGTAGTGCTTCCCAGCTGCTCTGTGTACAACACACAGCTTGTCAGCAGCTTGAGCTTTAGCGTTGCAGGGTTGCTTTCCTCAGTGTGCGAGCAAGGCAGCGGAGGAGACAAAGGCAACTTCTACAAACGATCTTTAGAGTTCTTCAGGGAAGTTCTTTTTCGTGATGTTGTTGCACCTCAGGGAGGCAAAAATGAGAAATATTTGGTCGTGCACAAAGCGGACTTGAGCAGCCGGGAGGTCTCCGGTGGAGAGATTCTTGCAGAGCTGTTTCCTGTGGAACGCTGGACTGGGAGAGACGACCCGGTTCCTGCTGCCTTTGCTCTCGCAGAGAGGGAACAGGTACATTCTGGTGCAGCGCTGCTCTGCCCGAGTCGGAGCTTCAGGGAGACGGACGGCTCCGTGCGCGTCAGCGCTGGCTTTCCGAGGGTTGGGAAGCCAGAGTTTCCCTGCTTGGCTTAGTTCTTACTCTCCGTTTGAGTGGGGTGCAAGTCAGAGTTGAGAGTATGTTCCTACATAATTACTGTAGTACACTACACTTTTTAATTTATTTTTTTTCCCCCGCTCTTGTTCCCACTGACGTCTTTGGCATTGTGGGTCATGGCTGCCTGCGAATGTGTATAGTTTATAGTCTTGTCAGCTTCCCTTGCTGCAGATATTGGTTTAATTACCTCGTAATTTATTTTGCTCTTAAATAACCAGCAAGCGAGGAAGGAGAAAGCTGAGCCAGAGGAGAAAGTTGTGGCCAAAATGAGTTTTATCTGGAAATTTGGGAGCAGCATAGTAAGATTTGTCTGAATCGGAAAAGTAAGATGCCAGCAAAAGTAACCTCAGCAAATTTTAAAAGGCTCTGTTCCCATGATAAGTTTAATGACGTTTCATGTTTGTTCATCTTTCTCATACTTGAGAATTTAACTCAACATGGAACTACTTTTCTATAGTCAGGTCAACTCATTCTCTATAATAGAGGTTTAAGTAGTATTTTACTTGGCCTGTACATCAGAGCGCTTCCTGACTTCAGTGCTGAGGGTTTCCAGTGGTTCCCTTCAGGATCAGGAGTAGGGTTCTTGTTTTGTTTTTTTTTTTAAATGTTAGAACTATAGAGTATAGCATAGCAGAGGCTTACAGAGTTTGTGTAGAAAACTTTGTAAAAGCCCGATTTTTGTGTTAGAAAATGGCATGGGCAGATGATGGGAAGTGTAAGTCTGACAGTTAAATTGCACCTTGCTATTCATAACCTTAAATAGAATGAGGATTAAGGGGATAAGAATTCTCATAAAGTTTGGAATTCTTTGTAAGAACCAAACGGGTGTAGCATTTCAGTGATTACCAGCTACCCGTCGGTTTACAGAGTTAATGCTGGCTCTGTTCGGCGGTGTATCACTAGTGCTTTTCCTTCTCTCGCGTCGGGGACGGAGGAGCCCGTTTCATTTAACAGCCTCAGGGGACTGAGTAAAGTTACTTGGAGATAACAACACCAAAAGCTTTTTTCCCCAAGTGTGATTGTGTTGGTTCTAAAAACGCACATCTTCTGTAAATACTTCAGTGAAGTTAAGTACGTAGATTTTTACTCTGGCACTGTTTGTGTTATGTTCTCCATTTCTTGGTGCTGTTCTTCCTATAGTTGTGTCCAGTAGCTGGTCATCAACGGCACTACTCTTAAGGGTCTTGATGGTGGTCTTAAAGATTATTTCTTAGGACCTTAATGCTGCTATACGTAAGCTCTATAAAATATTGTCATTTAGACAGAAGTTTATACCTATACCAAAGTCGGTATGTTGTTCATTAAATATATGTGCTTGTGGGTGCATATATTTAAGAGTACTGTGAAAATGTTAACTCTGCGATACGGTTATTTTTCTAACAATGTTGTTATTTTTCAGATGTTTACTTTTGTAGATAGAAAAACTAAATATATGGCTATTTGTTGAAAAAATAGCTCTCAATAAAACTACAGCTGCAAAAAGTGCTTTCTGACTATTTTTAAATAGCGTACTAGAAGCTGAAAACGTTACTCTCCAGCGATTTAAGCTGAATAGAGGCCAAAGTAAGCGTGAGGGATCTTGAAATCAGAAAGTGTTACGAATACGTTGCTGAAAGTACATTTATGTGTCGGAAACACTTGACTATTTGTGTGTGAAAGCGGCGTGCCTGGGCTGCAGGTTGCCCACCGAAGGTTTGGCGTTGCCTTTTCAGCTTCTGCGGGAGTGCAGCCACGAAGCGAAGGGATGGGTACGGCCAGCAAGTGAGAGGAGGCGTCCGGTCAGTTGGGAAGCGACAGGATCGGGTACAATCCGGCGATGTAGGAGATACGGGGGGGTGTGGTATTCTCTGCTCTTAAAGCCCTTTTGCTTTGTAATCTTGGGATTTGGTTGCTCTGAGCGTTTCCATGTCATTTTTTTTCCAAAGCGAGGTGGATAAACCTGACCTGCTGAGCTGTGCGAGCCGTGGTCTACGCGTGTAGCGTGTCTGTCTTGTCGAGTAGCGCTGGCCGTGGCGTGGACCGGAGGAAGGAGGGCTGCGTGTCCCCTCTTGACTTCCCTTGATCAGCTTACAGCTCGCTTACCTTGTCTAGACTCCACAGTAATAGGTTTATAGCGATCCTGCGGAACACGAGTGTTTCTGCAGCCTATCGCTAATGCTCGAGCGGTTATGAGATCGAACCGGAAACACATTTATCATAAGTAGCTTTGTATCATAAAATCTATACTTTCTGTAGAAGAAAGTGGGCTCCTTGCCTCTGGCTGTGTAGACAAGGGGATGTCAAATCCAAAGGAGCAGGTAAAGCAAAAAATACTTTTCCTGCAATATGGAAGAGAAAGAGTTTTCATATTCTAGTCGTTTAAAAATATATATATATTACTGTAAAAGAGAAGCAGGCATGGGGTAGGCGAAGGGCTGGGCTGTCGGGTTACCAACGAGAGCTTGCCCAGGGCTCTGGGCATCGGGCCGTGCCGCAGGAGCTGCGCCCGGAGGTCCCCAGGGCAGTGCCAGCGTGCGCAGCCTCTTGTGACCAGCCCTTCAAAATTCTGCCCGTCGCAGTCCCTAGTCTTTACTGCCGGGTGAGTGGGAGACCCGTAGTGTTCGCTTGCCCTGTCGCCAATATTGCAGCCGTGGCCCAGGTGAGTAGGTGCCTTTTTTTTTTTTTCCACCACTTTCTCCTTAAGCTAGACAATTCTTCCTGACAGCTTTACAAATGTACTGAAAAACCGCCAGCAAACCATCAAAAAAAATACACCTGTGGGATGGACGGCTGCAGTTACTGAGCAGCCCAAAACAGCAAGTTAGGAGCACGAGAAAGAATACAAGGCTATTAGATCCAATTCAAACTGCTAATAAAAGGGAGTATTTTTTTTCCCCAAAGTTACCTGTGTGGAGGATGTGTTTAATTCCAAAGAGTCAAAACAAACATGAAGACAAAATTCCTATTGTGGCAATCCTGATCTATGCTTTTAGTCTGCGCTAGAACGATAATAACTTCCTAGAAAAGTGTCCTGAGGTGAGCTTGTGTTGGAATGTTTGTTGTGGTTATGAAGGCTGGTGGTGCCCCGTTTAAAGATGTCTCTTAACAGCATCAGGATGTCGTTTACACGAGTGACAAAGGTAGTTACTTTTCACGTTGTGTTATCAGTATTGCAAATACGAGACAAAGTAAATTTTAAAAACAAGGAAAAAAAGCAGCCTACAGATTGGGCGTTAAACACCACCGAGTTCTGGGACCAGCTGACTTCCTTAAAAAAAAAAAAAAAAAGGCCATTTTTGGGTAGCTGTTCTTCAGTGTAGGCTGTCGCTCCCAGGGCACGGTCTGTGGTACACTGAGAGCGTGCGGGGCATTTGTAGGAGACAACGTCGCAATAAGCAGCTAATAATATTGCAGAATATTAGGAGCCAGGTAGTAGGTCTGGTGTTTCCCTTACTCCCTTAGCTCTCCCGCACAGGCTGTTTTCATTTTCCAAGAGCCATTTACATCGATGCTAGTAGTACTTAAGGTGATTAACTATAACTTGCGTTCTTTTTTTT